CTTATGAGAAAGTTTATAAGTTTGAAGTTGTTAAAAAATAATCCTGACTTTAAACATATACAAATAACTGATTTTGCACGGGTGTGGTGGCTCCTGCCTGTAATCCCAGCACTTTGGGAGATCGGGGCAGGTGGGTCACCTGAGGTCAGGAGTTCGAGACCAGCCTGACCAACATGGTGAAACCCTGTCTCTACTAAAAAATACAAAAAAACCCGGCCTTGGTGGTGGGTGCCTGTAATCCCAGCTACTCAAGAGGCTGAGGCAGGAGAATTTCTTGAACTTGGGAGGAGGAGGTTGCAATGAGCCAAGAACCTGCCATTGCACTCTAGCCTGGGCAACAGAGTAAGAGTCTCTCTCTCTCTCTTTCTCTCTCTCTCTCTCTCTATATATATATATATATATACACACACACACACACACACATACACACACATATATACATATATGTGTATATATATCCAAATAACCATTTTAAAGAATGTATATATATATATATATATATATATATCCAAATAACAATTTTTAAAGAATAATGTCAAGTCAGAAAAGTTCTAGAAAATCTGATACCCTGAAGTAGAGGACTTAATGTGCACATATCCAGCATTCCCATCATTTTTTAAAGTCTTGGGCCAACTAATTTTGATTTCTTGTTGCAGAACAGAAAATAAATTTACTGTCTAAGTAAGTTTGTAATGGCCCAATCATTTAGACTTTGTACTGGTGTTTTGGAGTAAAACAATTATCACCTTTCTAGAGGTGTTCCTACTGACTTCCTAGAGAACATTCTCAGTAACTGGAGGCTATATTTACAAAATAAAGTCTTATTTACAAAAGTCCTAAGCCCAAAGTTTTTTCCAATGGCCTGGCATCCTGGGAGTTCACTTGATCTATTGGACAGAAACATTTCAAACTCGGGGAACATATGATAGGAATTTAGTTTTATGTGTCCCAAAGATATTTATTTCTCTTTGAAGGTTTTACTTGATAATAGCTATGCCCCAGAAAACCATCTTGTTTAACCAATGTGATAAGTTGACAATGTAGTTTTTCCCTCTGATTATAATGTACTCTGTGTAGTCAATACACTGGTACCATGTGAGTGTAATTTCCTCTTTTATTTTATCTCCAATGCACTGTATTATAAATAAACAGTTAAAAAAAACACCAAACAAATCTGTTGCATCTCCTTTTAAGATTGTACCACTGTAGACACTTGTTCTAGTAAAGTAGAATTGGGCGCATTTGATTGCATTTAAATTTTTCATGCTTCAGCAGTTTGGCTGGGAGCACAGTAAAGAAAAATCCCATGAGCGAGGATAGTTTAGAATAATAGAACTTGATTTTGTGTATTATAGCGGCAACATTTGCGCTGCTTTAGTTAGGGTTGTGTCAGCACTTCCATTATAAACCCCTGTTTTCAGGGGGTATAACTAGGGGGATTTTTTTTAATACAAATTAAAAAAACAATTCATTTGAATGATTTTTAAGTTATAATAGTGCAAAAATAAAACAAAGTAAAGTCACATCAAAATTGACCATTTCTACAAGGATTTTGATTTTCTTTTGCTTATTAGTTGTATAAGGCAGCAGCTAGAGTAAGGTACTGTGGGGATGAAATTTTTGCTATGGAAAATTACTGATTGAGTATTAAAATAAGTGTAAGCAATCTACATGACATTTAAAAACACTGAAACAAGGGTATATTTGATTTATGAACTTCTAAAGGAGAGTAGCTATGGTACAGCGGTTATAGTAAAGGCATTACCAAAAGTCAAGTGTTGTTGAAGCTTCTAGCATACAGTTTGGTTGGTCTAGTAAAATGTTTTAAAGGGGAAAGCTAAGGTAAATAATTGAATGAAATGTCATCAGGATTATTTAATAAAGTAATTATGCAAAAAATCACTGAGTCAGATCTAATAATTAGCAAATCTAAAGTTTATTTAATAAACTCTGTATTAATTTGTGCACATTTCATAAAATCTCAAAATCACCACCGAAAGCAAACAAAAATTAACAACAAAACAAAAAATATAAAAAAGGATGTAAACAAAAAAAACCCTAACAATTTTATCAAAAGGAAATGCTCAAGGAAATACCTTTGGTCTTTTAAGAACAAAACCCATCTTTTTCTCCACTAGCAATGCATTTGGAAACTATAATAAAGTAAATAAAAGAAATTAAATAAAATATGATTTGGCAAAATATTCTTGGAACCAAACATATTAATTCCTTTGCTAAAGAAAAAGATCAAAATTGAGTGTGTTTTCCTTGATTGTTGTCCTATCTCCCCTGTCTCCTTCTCCTCTAACGATGGTGTGAACTGAGGATGAACAGTCAGAGTTAATATTGCTTTTTTTGGCAGCTTATGTTTTATTTGCAATCTTGATACACATGTATTTGTACGTGCAAAATAAAAGACAAATTGTGTGATGTTATAAATAGGTAGGATTCTTGAATGGTCACTGGAGGAATCACCAGAAGACTGTTGATGAAGTAGAGGTGAAGCCTTTCCTCTCTAATTGTATTCAGCATGTAATTTCTAAACTTCCCTCTGAATTTTGATTTTCAATTAACACTCCCCATTTGAAGATAATTTTCTATTTAATGTAATTGCAGGAAATAATTTATTGGCTGATTAAGACTGAGGACCCAGCCTTCCTTAAGAAAACATTCTAACAAACCATCCTTTAAACTCAACTCATAGATTTAGTCTATTTTTACAGCTGCAGAGTTGTGTTTAATTAGGAGTGTGCACTATTGTTCACTGGTGCAGTTTATAGTTGAAATTATTCTTAAGAGACTGTTTTCATTTTGGGTTTTGTCGTGATTAATTTATTCTAAAGCAACAATCATAGACATTGCTGTTGGAAGGAGCCGATTCACTTTATAGTAAGAGGATGTTTGTTGAAGGAACTAAAGTCACTGATTTTTGGATCATGACCTTCAATTGTATTTAACTATTTTAAAAAGCAGAAGTAAATTCATTCTTTTGTTTTTAGCATAAATGATTACTGAAGTTTTCAGTATCTGAACTATGAAATCACTCCTGTTTGTGGCAAGCTCTTGATAAACTTGCAGAACAGTTATTTGCCTGATTTTACTAATAGTAGTTATGGGGCCAGTAAAGTAAGCCATACAGTAATTCTTTTATACTAAGAAGCATACTTTGGCTACCTTTTTCATAATCGTATATATGTTTGTTCATTTGTTAGTATTAATATAAATTGGTCAAGAATATATTTGTCTGACTTACTGATATAGCACTCTTTAGAACATTTAATTCATTTCTTCTCAAAGAAATTATAGGCATTCTTTTGCATTCCCTTCCCCCCATTTTATTTTCTAGTATCGAATTTAATAGATATAATTTTTACCAGTAGTAGAATGATTATTATAAGTAGGTATCAGCATTTTAATATGTTTCAAAGCACTTCAAAAGCTTGTAATACTTTTATTTAGAAATGTGCATAATTAGATTAGCTGATCTTATATTAATTTTTTTCACTGTAGGATACTAAATCTGAGCCCCATCATTAATTGTGAGAAATTTAGCATTAGCTGTTAAATCCTATGTGAAGCATGGGCTGCTACATAAAAACTACTGTTTAAATTGGAATTAACTTAATTATTTTTCTTTGCACTTGATATTTCCTTCACTGCAATATTCATGAAAGCATGCGACAGATTTGTAAATTTAACTGTTAATCTCAAATTTCTAGACCCTTTAATCAGTATTTATTTGTCTGTAGAAACAGAACTAGCAAGTTAATGATTTGCTAATTTGAAAAATGCTCATGTGGTTTCCTATGTTAACTGATTTGTGCATTTTTTTAAAAAAATGGCATGAAATCAATTAATGTTAAATAGCAATTAAGGTGGAGATGTTATTCCTTTCATTACACAGCAATTTTAGAGCTAAAGATGCAATAAACCAAAAACAATGTAAAGTTTTAGAAAAAAAATTCAATTACCTCTCTGTTAAGTTGTAAAGTTTCATTTGTCTTATTTTCTAACCATTTTGCTAAGAAATTCATTTTGATAAAGTGATATTCTAAACATTTTGAAATTCTACTTAATAGTCATGATTTTCTGATTTTATATCAGAGCACAAAATGGAGACCTTGTCATGCGAGTTTAGTTGATGTTTATTTGTGAGCTTATAAGTGAATGTTCAGCATTGTTTTTGGAGGTTTTGCATATTGTGCACAGTAGGCATTTTACCATTTTTATAGTAAATGTTTTGAATCTTGTATGTACTTTCTAATATAAAATAGAGGTATAGCTATTTCAGATACTCAATTCAAATGCTACAAAATTGCCTTAAAACTAATCTAAGAGTATCAGCCACTCAATCAATATGTCATTTAAAAGTTAAGTTACGGTTGACTCATTTTAAAGGTCTTTTAAAAAGCTTTAGATGGCATTAAGTAGTGTTAGGCCCAGTCCTCCTAATACAAGGTGTAAACCAATAAGTCAGGATCAGATTTACTTAGGACTTTAATTATGAATTATTTACTCTCCTAATTATATTTTCCTACATATGCTTCTTTTGTTCCTACATAAACCACTGGAGAAAAGTTGGATGTTTGTGCTTTCAAATCATCTTGCAAACTGACTCATTTGCCAGTTTATTCATTCATTTTTTTTCCATTGCTATCACCTTACTCTCAAGAAGCTTATAATCTAGTCAAGAAAACCAGGAGGAAAAATATATACATACATACCCTGTCCATTATGAAAACTTATTCTGAAAAAAATCATTAATGGATTGTAAGAGAGAAAATATGCAGTAATACTGGGAAGAGGTTTGCTGAGTTAAGAGCAGGGAGGGAAAGCAAGACACATAAGCCGAGAGTTCTTTGTCAGGGATTTAGAATGGACCATAAATATCTCTAAAGTTCAATAACTTTTCTTTTTTCCTGAACTAGTCAAATGCACGGAATGGTTTACTCTTTCGTTATTGGCAGTCATTTTTAATCCATTCTGTTTTCCTTCTGCAGAAGAATGTCTTCCAAGCAAGCCACCTCTCCATTTGCCTGTGCACCTGATGGAGAGGATGCGATGACGCAGGATTTAACCTCAAGGGAAAAGGAAGAGAGCAGTGATCAACATGTGGCCTCCCATCTGCCTCTGCACCCCATAATGCACAACAAACCTCACTCTGAGGAGCTACCAACACTTGTCAATACCATTCAACAAGATGCTGACTGGGACAGCGTTCTGTCATCTCAGCAAAGAATGGTGAGCTTTTAAAATCTGATCACTGCTAATAAATGCATTCCTTAGTACGTCCTCTTTATAAATTTATGTTTTAGGGAAATAGATGACCTTAGAGTTATTTGTGTTTAGATCATGAAACAACTCCCAGATACATAGTACTAAGATACTAATAACTGAAAAAACTTGAAAAATGGTTTGTGATTTAGTGTATATATGTTCATTATTAGGCCAATGTGCAAAAAGATATTTTATTGATTGATTTTTGTGGGAGGATTGGTTATCTTCTTCTATCAATCCATGAATTGAAGGTGATTAACTTGGTACTAGCACAAAATTGGTATGATCAAATAAAGGATGGCTATGTATTAATATTGAAAAATGTAATTAAGCAAATATGCGTGAATGAGGTAATATGTTGACTACATTGTCAATGAGAAAATTCAGGTATTTATCACTTTTAATGATCATTCTTGATTTATAATAAAACTTTTCTCACTTATGTGCCTATATATTAATTTCAAAAGGGCATGCAAACCTCGTTAGAATCATTCAATCAGACTACTGGAGTCTTCTCGAAAAGTAGAAACAACATCAAATACGTGCAGTATATTAGCCAGCTTTCCCATGTTAAATTCCATCTCTAACCATCGAAACAGAAACCATAGTAAGTGACATTAATTATCTAGTTTAAAGCAAAAATATTCAATTTTTTAGCATCTAGAAGAGGTTAAAATGTTAATATAATTTATTAGATTAGAAGTTTTAAATCCTGTTTTGCTCTTAATTTTTAACTAACAAAATTAAGTTAATGAAAAATATTTTAAGTGAGCACTGAGAAAATTTGTGTTTCTTAACATAAACAAGGTAATATTTACAATACCTTTACTACTAATAACAGATAATTAAATTCTTATTTAATGCTTTATGTCTCAGAGACTTAATTCAGTAATTTATGAAGGCAGATATTTTTCTTTTCCAGATGAATTTTGCAGACATAGCCAGTGCTCTGGAGCAGTAGGTGAGAAGCAGAAGATTGAAAGATAGTTTCTGGACTAATTTTAGTTTTGAAGGGGATCAAAATTGTACAATTAAATTCACTGGAAGATTTATTTTTCCTGAGTAGGAAGAAGGTAATAAAGCAAGACTGTTTTTCTGATTGAACTTAAGTTGTTCACTTTACAGCTCCAAGGTGAAATAGATATCCAGTCGCTGCTGCTTGCTTATTGGCAAGTTAATGGAGCTAAGTTTCATTTTTATTTCAGCAAATGTTTATTGAGTACCAACTATGTGTCAAGCATTCTATTAGGTCCTGACTAGTGCTGAACAAAGCAGACATGATTCATGCCTTCATAGAGTTTATAGTCTAGGAGAGGGAATAGAAATTAAATAAATATACACATAAATATATAATTAAAATTGTGATATGTGCTACATATGAGGAGAAAGAACAGAATGCTATGTGAGAACATAATGGGGCAAACCTAATTTAGAAAAGATGGTTAGGAATGCCCTCACTGAGCTAAGGATGGCAAGAACTAACCAAGTAGAGAGGAAAAAATAGTAAAAATGCAGAGAGAACACCATGTATGAAGTATTTGAAGTTACTGCTTAATTTCACAAAGTAAAAGATGGCCTTTGTTGATGGAGAGTTATGACTGAGGATGCAATATATCATAAGATATAGTTGGAGAGATTGGTAGGGGCTATATCAAACAGGACCTTGGAGATAACATTATGGATATGAGATTTGATCTAAGTTCAATGGAAAACGTTTGAAGCATTCAAAAACATTTCAGACAGATAAATTCTGGCTGTAATATAATAAATGGATGGGAGAGAGACAAGAGTGAAAGAAGTAAGACCCATTGGGAGTCTATTTCAGAAATTTAGGTGAGCGATGAGGGGCTTGGATTGGTGTAAAGGAAGAGTGGCTAGAGAGAAAGGATAGGTTTAAGATATATTTTAGCTTTGACAAATAAAAGTAACTGCACTGGAAAATATGGGTAGAAGGAGAAATAATACAGTTCAAATTTTATTTCCTTGAGAACACTATACTTATTTTTCCAAGAAAAATTTGGTTTGTATCTTGAAAAGTGCCAAGTTGCATTGGTGCATTATTCTCAACTTTTATGATCTAAAATTTCATCTTAAAAAATATATTAATAATTTTCCTACCACATTTATATTACATGTGATTTATGATAGTATAAAGTGGTTTAATGGTACAAATGAGTTATATATTAATGTAAAAGAAATCATACTTGCTAGACATGTTTTCAAACTTTCACTTTCCTTTGCTATCAAGTATTGGTTTCCACTGGAGCCTTTGTGTATTCCGAATGACTGGAAGCCAAAATATTTTGTTTTAACTCCCACTCTATAGTATTTCCCAGCTGTGTACTTATGTGGTATAATAAAAGGATTTAACAAATGGGAAATAGCAGCTGCATTTGGAAATTCCCTTTGTGCTTCTTTTTCACTGGATAGTTTCAATAATGTGTAACAATTGTAACATCAGACCTGTAATGATTTATACTGTTAAAATCATCACTAACCAATTTTTCTTTACAGGAAAAAAAAAACAATAGAAGGATTTTAGGTTTCTGGGCAGACCTGCAAACCTACATATATTGTGTGTGTGTGTATGTGTGAGTGCGTGTTGGAGTGGGAGGACTGCACTAATGTAAAATTTAATAAACATTTTACCTCATTCTACTTTAAAATAAATATGAAGTCAAAAAGGATGTTTATGAAATCAAGTAAACCTTGTAGTTTTCTTTAATGGATCATATTCTGTAATTATAATTGAGTCCCCAAAAATATTTGTGAAAAAAGAAAATTTAAAAGAAAATCTAAAAAATAGCAACAACAAATTTTCCTCAGTAATTATACAGTTTCCATTGTTATTTACTGTCTCTGATGGCCCTCATGGCCCTCATTCATGAACTGTTAGAAACAAGCCCTGAAAGTTTCTTATCTCCTGGGTTCAGGAAGGGTTTTACTTTGAAATATCATGACCACAGAGGAACTTTTCTGTCAGAGAAGGTGAAGACAAAGCAAAGAAGGTCTGCTAATTCCCACTTCCTGATTAGAACAAAAAGAATCTTTAAATGTAAAAATTCTGATATTTTGAGATGGCACTGCAACAAAATATGAGACCACACAGGTTCAAACAAGAAAAATAATTTGTAATGGCATAAGCAAAGAAGGGGAATAGAAATTTTAGAAATAGGATTTCAAGGACCAGTTTGAGATAAAAAGTTTTAGATTCTGATTTTAATACTAATTACCTATTTCATAGACACCAAATTGTTGAATTATAAATGTAATGTGCTATGTTAATTGGTGAGAGCCATTTGAAGGATGGAAAGTTAGTGTAAATAAGATTCACTATCCTTCTCTATCCACAACCACTACCACTTTCATCATGGCACCCAGTTTTTTGCAGAGGAATGTTGACACTGTCCGCTAAAATGTGTTTTTGTTCTCATTAGGACTGACTAATTAGGCTGGAATAAATTCACATAATTTTTTTCATGGAAAAATATACAGCATATTATTCTTTTTGATGTTAATAAGCATGTAGATGAATATTTCTGTGATAATGTTTCGTGACCTGTATATGACATTGTGTGTAATGATTACCTGCTGAATATTACAACTGTAGAAAGGACAGATAAACTTATATATTGTGAGTGATCTTGTCTGCCAATTACATACGGTTTTTTGATTCAAATTATATATAGCTACTTATTGTAACAAACAGATAAATTGAGATGTACGTGTTATTTTGAGCCTTCCCTTCATTACTTTTTTCTTTTGCTTTAGAGTATAACTTCAAAAGGAGTTATTATTACCACTGGATACCTGAGTACATAGTGCCTACTAAAGTTCCAGGCACAAGGACTAACTTGTGGATAATAAAGATAAGATCTCTGTTATCATATAACTTAGAGCCTAGTTGTAGGACAGATAATAAAGAAGTCTTATAGAGTGAAGCAATTTCAGATAATGATAAGTACTATGAAGAAAATTAAGTAAGAAAATGTGATAGAGAATAACACCTTTAATAGACTGGAGAAGTTCTTTTCCAGGAGGTGACATTTGAGCTGAAATTTGAATAACAAGAATCACTGTGCAAAGATTTGGGGAAGACAGCCAGCCAGGATGTATAATAAATACAAAAGTCTTCTGGTTTGTATGTTAGAGAAACAGAAAACAACAGGGTGACTGGTGAGGGAGAGAATGGTATGAGATGAAATCAGGGAAGCAGGCAGATGACAGATATTATGGAGTCTCATAGGCTATAGGGAGGTGCTTAAACTTTCTTTCAAGTGTAAGTAGAAGCCATCAGAAAATTTTAAGCAAGGGAGTTAACATGATTTGATTTATGTTTTTAAAAGATCACATTGCCTGCTATGTAGAGAGTGGATTGTGAGAGAGAACATCAGAAACAGGGACACCAGTTAGGAAACCACTTCAGTGATGCCGATGAGAGTTTGATGATATGCAGAGTGAACAGTTAGGCTATTTATTGGAGAGTTCTCAGAGATTCTGAAGAAGACAAAATTCACACAAAGGGTGAAGAGAATGTTTTAAGTAATGTCCATGTGGGCATAAACTTAGTCAAGAATGACAAGAAATGAGATTGGTGAGGCCAAGGAGAGGAGGGAAAGGAGTAGAAATGCTACTGGGCAGAGAAAGGCCCCAGGTGAGAGACAAGCTTTTTGCCTAAGAAGTGACTGTTAGAAGCAACAGTTAGTAGGTGACTTCTGTGGTAGGCCATGGATATGTGCATAAGGCACCAGTACTCTCATGAGATACAAAATGTGATGATTGTAAGTGGGAACTTACACACATGCACATGTGTACAGTTACATGCATTCTTATATTGATATATATTTTAGGCAAAAATATACATCTGGCTTTTAACTACTAGTCTAACTAGGTAGAAATAACGGTAGTGAACTCTCAGCCCTGGAATATCTGAACTCCTTATTTTAGAGACTACTTAAATTCCT